ACCAACATGTCATGTAGTCTGATAAAGGTTCTTGTACTGCCCGATACACGTGTTTTGTCCTTACAGACTCGTCAGTCGGGCTGAACCCGTCATCTTTCGATCTTTTTATTAGTCAGTTCTCTCGAGAGCTTGCTCTCCCTGTAGAAAGATATTGAAGACGAACGTTTTACACTTTATATCAAGTGAAATTTTACCTAACACAGAGTATTGCACACTCGATTGCTCTTTGGCTGGTATTTTTATCACATTATAGCTTTGTTTCGAGTGCTTTATTGGAGCCATGCTTAAATTTCAATAGAAACTTTCATTATTATTAGAGCCGACATATCATGTGGTCTGGTAAGGGCTCTTGTACAGTCCGATACATGTGTTTCGTCTTTACAGACTCGTCAGTCGGGCAAAAACCCGTCGTCTTACGATCTTTTTGTTAGAAGGACTTATTAGAATTTGAGTGTGGTCTAAATAAAACACTCGGAACAAAGGTACAATAGCCAATGTGAAGTAAAGTAGACTAAAAGGTCTATAAATTTTGAATTCTATCTGGTTTTCAGCTATCGAGTGGTAAACCGGCACGATATCATCCCACACTCACCACCTTGTGCTAAAAGCAAATCCTGGGCCAGTGCACTGGCTTTGAGCCTCCCTTGCAGTATGAAAGCTACGAAGCAGCCCTATCATCACGGAACAGAGATTTGGTGAGCGTTAATTTATTTTCTCAAAAACTCTTGTTCAAATAAAAGGACAGCTGGAGAATAGCAATACCTCTTTACATTATTTCTTGCCAGTCTAAATTGGGAAAATTCTTTCAAGAATTAACCCAACTCTTCTGTGGATAAACTTAGCGAATAAACACGGACTGTATCCAACATCATGAGTTGCTACATTGCTTGTGGGTGTCTCTCACGATACAGAGCGGAAATTAGGTGTACGTTCTCAACGTCAAAATGAAAACTCATGAGAAAGGCGGTTGAGATTTGAAGACTAATCCAGGTTGTTAAGCATCTTTGAAGGATGACGATCGGCACCTGCTATATATATGCTCTTCCATCAAAAATCCGTAATGGAGAATTTCTATTACCGTGTTAATGCTTTCGGCTTGATAAAACAAATACCGCTGGTTAATCCAGTAATTTAAAACTAACTTATTAATGAACCGATACTTTAGGGTGCAATCGAACTGCAAAAGGAGTAAGAATATGTAGAAAAGTCCGACTTTTTAATTCACGCCTCAGTGTAACTCAAAAAGCTATTACGGAAGTAACATAAAAAACGTTACACAATAATCATTTTAGTATATACTTCATCCATAACAGAGGAGCGACACTCTTTGCGCTACACCTAACAAACGTCTGTAGATGAACGCGATGCTTGCTTCACAAAAAACAAAAATTTATGCAATTTAATACATCGGCGAAATTCCGCATCCCATGCTTACAATCACTTCTACAGTATCTGAGCAGAGCCTAATGCAGACACATCCCACACATACGGATCAGGACCGTGGGATTTTTTTAAAATCATATTTTGTTGGATATGAGAGATTAGACACGCAGCCACATGTCTTATGATTTCGGAAATCAGCCTAATTGAACAATGATCCTTCTGAAAGAGAACCACTACACAAGAACACAATCTAGCTGTACTTCATTTAGCGTACGAGAAAGACAGCGAACGAAACGACCGTTTATCTCGATTAGGCCTAGGACGATAAATATGGTGATAAAAATGTTTTCAAAGCGGGAAACCTACTGAAAAATTTCTTAACCTACTATTGGAGTACCTACTGTTTCCAGCAGGACTTAACGGCGACATCCCCTGCTCATAACTATTTATATTGACCTCGCTCAAAACTGATAATCTGATAACATGGCAACATGCTTGAGCCTGTTATTAGGTCTGGTACGGCACTTAAGCAGTCCTAAACAGGTCTGTTTTGCCCTTCCGAAGTTCCCTATAGTCGAATAATAGATCACCACAAGTCAGGTGACAAATTCCCCGACAATGCAATGACCACAGCCGAGTGCATGTGGCTGGTTGAATGAATTATACCCTACTTTCGACTGGCATCTATTCCTTTATATGTAGGAATATTTCCCCAAGGGACCGGCTGAATCGAAGGGCACTGTGCCACTGAGGAGCTCAGAAGGGCGAAACAGACGACTATCTAGCACTGCATAAGTACCGTACCAGACCACATAACAAGCTCAAACTTGTTATTACGTTAGTAGTTTACCTAATGGCGACAATTCAGAGCATAATTTACTTGACAAAGATTAGTGTACTTAGAAAGTCTAGTCAAGAATTTATCTTAAGAAAACACGTTTTCCTGTTGATTGAGCTTGCAATCGCAAAGTGGATCATAGAAATTCTTTCGCCTAGCATTTTGAGATGCTTGTCTTCCTCAGAGCCGGTGATCTGAGTCAATATACCTAATTGTGCGACCACGTGTGTTCCCCGGCTTCGTTTCGTTATAGTTGATACTTCTCTAGTGGAGAGCCGCTCAGATAAAGGAGAAGATCACAACGAGGACGCGTATCTGTGTTTGACTCAAATCAATGGCTCTGATGTAAGCGAAGGCGTCGAAGCGGTAGCCGAACCAGTTAGGTTGAGAAAAAGTCAATGTGCAATAAAAAATGTAGTGCTTTGTATTCATATAATATGCATATTTTTATTTTAGGTATCCTAATTCTATGAAACCAGGTTCGGCATATAAAGAATGTCTTGGATACCCAAAAGGAGAAGACTTTTCCTGTTCTAATAGAGATAAAATTGATGACTCAAAGATTTATGATTACCTATGGGATCACCGACACTATTTTATAGTTCATGTAAGTTCAATTATCAAGTGCCTAAAAATCTAAAATCGTTGCATATAAGATTTTTTCTTCAGTCCCCATATTTTCATAGTGCAAATTATTCTTATGTACCTTCTAAAAGTGATTCTTTTTTTTATAACAACTCGAAAGACCGACTTTCTTTTTTTTTTTGTTACACTTCGAAATCTGCTCGATAGAACAAGGCATTACTATTCCTCTACAGGTGGGAAAATATGGTGAGGCAGGATGCGACGTAAATGGAGGAATAATGAAACCGAGCACATTTCAAAAAGTGGTAAGAAAACATAATATGACATTACATGATTTTTTAACTCATATGAAGATAATTCAATCGATTGCTAAAGCTAGTAATAGCTCGATTTGACATTTCAATGCAGATATGAGCCAAGAACTTAGATATATCGAGATGAAGCTTGAAAAGCCAGTCACATCCATTTTCCGGGTAGAAATGGAGGGGAATTAGTTCAACGCCATGATTTTTTCCTTGCATCTTACCAGTAAGTGCCTCAGGGGAAGTGAGTTGCAAAGATATGCAATGGGATCGAGTGCAGCTCAGCGGTATCCTTTCAAATTTACGCTAGGCTACAGAGCTTAGAGGTTACATACAAAGCTCTACTTATGTGAGAATTTTGCATTTGCGCTAAGTTAATTTTGCAAACGATTGTCGGACAAAATTTTTCATCTTGACAAGAAGTTAAACGTTTCTCAGGCACTGATCTGTCAAAGAGAATAATTGTCTTAACGTTAAGAGAAGTTTTGAAATTTTTACCAGGTTCATTGGCTGTTTACTCATGTGACAATCAAACCTTTTTGTGTGCTAAGTAATAAACTATGGAAGTACGTTGAACGATCCTCATTTGCTATGTCTAATAAGTTGAATAAGGCAGGATAAATTATGCTAGAATAATCATCTAGTAGCACTGCAAAGGCAGTTGCTTTTGTGCTACTCATTGTCAAATCTCTAGGCATAAACACTTTATTTTTTAAGAGTATCCTTTTCAAATTTCATATTATACAGGTGTGCTCGTTTTTTCTCGAGTACTTCATGTAAGGATCAGCAAGTCACGGATCTACGCGATATTGTTCCGAAAGATGTACTTCGCAGTCCTCCATCCGTAAATGGGCCATCGAATTCTTGAAGGAAAGGAAAATGCCCAATGTTTTCTCGCCAAACTTGAAGTTGTGGATGAATCATTTATGTCCGAAAAAAGCGTCCATTCATCTCAATCAAGAGAACCTTGAGACCGTGGACGGCTTTATATTTTTCATTAACTATTCTGTGTCATAGCGTTCTTTCGTGTCTAGTCAATTCCAATCGAGCAATTTCGACAGCGATCGCAGTATAGAGGTGAGGTCTTCTGCATGCCAATTCGTTGCCAAGAACAATACCACTTGTCACACCGATTTTTTGATATTGCGTTATTGTTTTTTCTGCTAAGAGATTTGTGGGCCTCAAATCTAACATTCTGTAGGAAATATCAATCACGTAACATGTCCCGCTCAACTTTTCATGCTCCTTACTCTTGATGAAGTCAATTTCATTTCAACTTCTTTATTGCTATAACATTTACACACTCTATACGCCATTAATGATTCACCGTGGTGACATCAAGTGGAATAAAAATGCGTTAGTTGCGTTCAATCTTAAGCTGTGATATTTTCTAACATTTTCCTTCCTATAGCGCCAACAGTCTTTCATTAAGCAAAGCATCGCTTCAGTTGAGCAGTGTTCCTCCATGGCAAAGCTCAATTGCACTCACAGAAACAGTAAAACAGTGAATGTAAATGATTGAGTAAGACTTAGTATTCAAGTGGATTTTCGCTTTTGTCTACACGGAAAAGCAGACGGTTGTTAATTTCTGATCTTAAGCAAAGCTATGTCACTGTTGTTTGTTCATAATCAATTATATTACAATTTACAATGGATTATTGGTCTCTTCTGAAATATCTATAATGTTGTCATCCATTTTCTAAAGACATATGAAAAAAAAGTACTCAGTAATATTCATCTTGGAACTCCTTCGTATACTCTTTATCACATCATTAAAAATGCTTCAAGCATTTTACCTGTGATTCCCGTCCTTAGATAATCATAAGCTAGATTTCTCCGAAATCTTCTGACTTGTTTATAACCAGGAGAATCGAGTGGCGAGCAAAAGCACAACCTTAAGACGGGAGTCGAACCCGCGTTTATCCCATACCTGGGACGCGTGCTACCACTACACCACGAGATACATTTGCGTCACCACTCATTCTTCAATATCTTTATGATAGCTGTCATCTACCGAGCTTTGATAGGTTCGGTCGGGTATGCGATTTCGTTTCATGAATCCAGTTGAGCTGACGGCCATTGTTGTAATTGACCCTTCCTGGAGCGCATGTGCCACTCATGGTACACGCCAATTTTCGTGATTCTCTCTTCAAATGTAGACTTCTCGTTAGATTTTGAATAGCCATTCGATAGATGAAAAATTGCGGTTCTGGTGGTGTTCTTGGATTTCGACAATGCTTTTTCAGTGAGCTATAGCAACGAAGAAAAAATCGCGTTTTTTCTCTTCGGAGTGTACACTGTGATTTGCAATCGTGTTCACATGTCCTTTCACAGAGCAAAGGTTTTTCACCAAAATTGCAGTAATCATTCGATAGATTGAGAGATGGTGATCCAAAATATATACTTACTTTTTGGATTGAATAGCAAATATAGGTTTTTTAACTGCTGTGAAAACAGTGTGCAAAACTGCGTTTCACTTCCGGAGTGCTTTGCGTGGATCGCTATCGTTTATGCATGGCCTTGGAGTAAATTTGATAATCATTTGATCGAAAAGTGTAGATTTTAAAACTGATTTGGCTTGTTTGGACTAATTTTTTATTGCACTGAAGCAAGGGAATTAAGATTAAATTCACATTTTGGGTAAGCATCTGGTCTCTTCGAAGTGGGTGTTCTGGTGATTATATATCAAAATTCGCACCCTAGAGACAATTATAGATAATTAATAATAATATACTAGTAAAAGCTTCTATAAAAGTGTTTTTCAGTGACAAGAAAGCCCACGTGTTTTGAAAATTCCCACTTTTCAATACCATGGTAATATTAAGGGAATAACGCATCTCCATTTCTTACTTCTTATTTTTTGACGATATGCAGCAGTGTAAAACTGAAACAGATTTTTTCGATTCATGACTTTTTCAAGAAGCTTATGTGGTGTGACTTTTAGCACGCAGTGGAATAAGCTTTCGTGAAGCCCACAATCATCAATTTGAAGGGTACTTCTCCGGAGAAGTTGCATATTCCTCACCCAAATTTTTCAAGCCTTTCACTGATATTGTTGATCTTCAATTTGAAAAATTTATCACGCAAACGATAAATCATACAACAACCATCGATCATTAGCAGTTCACCCCAGATATCAGTAGCGGTCAACATTCATCCGCGCCGCTCAGAATTTTGCTTGTTGCATTCAACAAATTACGCGTTCTATAACAACAAACACCAAATCTCAAAATAATTAGTTATTGGTTCATAAATGTCTTCAGCAATATACGACATGATTTTTCGACCAAAATATAGAACTTATCGGACGCCGAAACACCTAAGAACACATTTCCGAAGAGCAGTATAAACAAATTTAGTGCCTACATCACCTGCACCTCGTGCTTATTCTTTTAGCTTTGTTTCGAGCATCAGCACTATATGCACGTATTAACAATTCTCTATAACATCTAATACGACGTCCACGACGTGAAAAAATAATTTTGAGAATGCGCCTGAGTGTCGGCTGTGAAGCGATACGATCTTGCAGTTATATAAGATAAACATCGATCTTGAAATCGGTGAGCGAAATATTTTTCACACAATCGTTGTAGAATTTCCACGAGTTCATCAGGCACATATGCGTAATCAGGAAACAGGCGGATGTACCTGGGCTGTGAACTTAGATATTGCAGAACAATATCGCAGCAAAATACACTCACCATTTACATGTTTTCCTGGTGTATGAGAAGTAGGCAACCATTTGGTCAGTGGAACTGATGAGCAACGACCTCACACTCCTAAGAAAGGGTTCTTAACAGATGGATGGCTGCTCCAATGATTTTTCAGGTGTGGTAGCTTCACAACAATCATTTACATACATAAAACTATGAATGTCTTAAATTCTTCCACATTGGTATCCTCTCAGTCGACGTTCTTCTGAGTGACATAGATATTTGTCTGCTCTACAATGAACTCCCAAAGATCGGTTATGAGTAGTTCGTAGGAATGAGCTGGTTGCCAGCACCAGGTAACAGTACTGTGTGAACACCTGCCGCTGGGTTATCAAAGGGCAAGACGGTGGGTGGCTGCACATTAGTGGTCCACTCACCAATTACAATTTCAACATTCAAAAGAGCTCTTTGTGCATTGTCAGTTCCGTTATCGTCATCCTCAGAACCCTGTGCAGTGTGCACGTTTTTGCCCATGCTCGCGTCTGATTCGTTACCATTGCTCTCGTCAGCGCTTACAGCTAAACCTTGCAGCATAGTTTCCAATTCTTCATTTTCAAAAGTTTCCCAGTCTTCTTCTTCAAAGGCTTCTCCAGCTTTTTATCTTGAATGACGGCGCTGAAGGTACGCTCTCAAATACTTACAAACATCATGGTAAGTTATAGTTGTCATGGAGTAATAAACTCACATCTATAGTAAGATGAAGAAGAGAAGCGACTACTCGTAAGCACCTGAACTACCAAAACGATAACGATGCGACAGCTAGTTAGCGAGAATGCTAAAAATCAATCATTGAAATTGTAATTCTTACCCTCGCGCACAAGCGCTGTGCCTTTGGCCTATGTGATAGATTCGCTTGTTCTAGTAAAATTACAAGTTTCACTAGTGTAGAAGACCTTATATTCAAAGTCATTTAGGCATAATTTCTTTCACGATATAAACAACTGGCAGATTTACAATATCCTCCACGAAAATAACATCAATACATAGCAGCTTCAAAATTCTTACATGCGGATCCAATTTCTCAAAATAACCTAAAAAATAGACATAATTATACGCGGTACAATTACATTACCCAGAGTAGGCAATGGCTAGTAGATCTTGCAGCTAATGTGAAATCTTCATATTCTGTGAACCTGATACAGCAGCCAATACAGCGCATTGTCGAAGTATCAGGCTTCGATTGTGTGGAAAGAATAGATCTCTCTACCCAGGCTATAAATAAAACTTGGACTTGCTGAAACAAAAATAAAATGGGTAGCCTGCTTACTAGTTCTCCTGAATACGACTGACCCTTCTTGCACAGAAATCTTCTGTAATCTATGAGTCATTTTCCCCTTGTGCATCATTATATAAATTATTAGAAATGAACGAATTTCTAATATAAAACCTGGTTGTGGTAAGAATCATGGATGACCTGACATCACACGAATTGTGCAACAACTTCTTTTGACATACTATTTATTGTTTTCCGGATTCCGCTCACAATTATAGTCCTTAAGTGTTGTTTATAAGCAAACATATCAAAACTGATCGATAGAGCTCATTAGATTCCTTGTACAACTTAGTACAATTGGCAGAATGCCAACATCATTGTGATTTCGTAGTAAAAGAAAGCTTTTCTCTTTAAACATAAAATTTATTGCACTGAAAGCTTACGAGCGCGTAGAGAAAATCTAATACTATCGAACTATCACGAGAAACCCCAGACTTTTATCCAAAACGATGAAAAAGCCCTAATCAAATGCCAAAAACCGGCGATTTGCACTGCGTGTGGCTATTACGACCGCTGGTCCCAAAAGGGCTAAGACTAGATAATTTCTACTGTTCAATGCTTTTTTCTTGCAGTGTTACGATATTTCATATATACCTAAGAGAATTGAGCGGTGAGCAAAAATATTATAGATATACTGATAATAATGATACTGGTAAGATAAGTATATTCTTTTTATTGGTGAGATAATGAAAAATTATTGGTGGCGCAACTGTACCTTGGTGGTGTAGTGGTAGCACGGGTGCCCGGTATGGACTAGATACGGTTTCGACTCCCGCCTTTGGTCCCTTTTCCCTCACCACTTTATTCTCTCAGATATAAATGAAACATCATAACACTGCGAAAAAAAGTAGTATACACTAGAAAGTTTTGAGCATTGACTTTCGTTTATCATTGCAAGTTGTTGAATGGCTGCTTATCTTCCAAACAAGTTTGTTCCATTGTCAACCAAAAGTATAGAACATTTGCTGACCCTGTGAAGCAGTATTGAACCAGGAACCGCGTAGGTGCTGAAAGACACCTTCAACCACTGCACCACACGTGCTATAGATGATGACCATGTCATTTTTTTCCCTCACTTGAAAAACATTATTGAAGAATTGCCACAACATTCTGTGGTCAAAGCAGCAACTTAGAGAATCACTAACACCATAGTACTATAGCGCTTAATAGCAAGCTCAATCTACTACTGTCTTTTGAAACAACGAGATAACTTATCATTACCAAAATCGTGTTAGGCATCGAGTTTTGTCTCGATCGTTTTTATGTTGTCTCACTACTTTGAATACAACGAATTGGGATCATATGTTCTGCCGACTTAGTGTTAAGTTTTGACCCGCATTCTTGAGCATAATTAAGCTCAGAGTAAACTTTATTGATCAAAAATTGAAAAACAAAAGAATCCGAATACTCATACCAGTGAGTAGCAGGAAAAAAAACAGTTGGTAATGAAACTTGATCGTACACATTATAGTACAGAGCGACATGACACGTCAGTAGAGAACCACGAGTCATTGCATGGACCGAATTGGCATTCAGTTGCCTCTAACAATGCTTACTCTTCGAAAACGACATGACGACGAGCAATCCGTAGTGTCGCATTTTTAGTGATGCTGATTATTGGAAAGAAGGTTGCTGGTTCGATTCCTCCTATGACGCTTAACAGCAGACTGGCATTATCTTTTGGTAGAGATTAAATTTAAAGGCTCTTCTATGGACGCGATTGTAGTTTAAAAAGCTGTTGTCTTACAAGTCAGTGATGTCGCGCTCTTAACTCAATAGCTCGTAATTATCTAGCCAAAGTAGTGTGCTCACTATACACTAGCTGTGGAGATGCTGCCAAAGTGCCGTGCTCTCAACAGACTCGCTCGTGCTTTACAGCCTAAGCGCTCGTGGTTAGGTAGCCATTATATTCTGCTCTCATCTCACTGGCTCATAGATAATTAACCATTGTGTTTCGGAGATAGGCAGCCATTTAGTCGTGCTTACACCGCACTGGCCTGTAAAAACAGCGTCTTATAAGCACAGCACATTGGCTGCCCAATCTTGATCCACTGTGTTGTGTGCGCGACACAAGGGATGCTTAAATGCGAACTGCAGGGCCTGAATAACCACGAATCACTGTGCGGTTGGCACGGCTCTTCGGCTGCTTTGAATGGAGCACAATGGCTGCACATACGAAAGGATAGGTTGTGAGTACGACACTTTGTCTGCATATTATCGAGCCACTGTGTAGTGAGCACAGCACAGTGGTGGTTTCAAAACACGTCACAATGGCTGCAAATTCATGAGCCCTTGTGTTGTGAAGACGACAAAGCGTCCGCCTGAACACGGCCCTCAGGAGACTAGCAGCACAGAGTCTTATGAGCAGGAAGTGTGCTTGATTTGACTAAAAAGATCAATTTCAGGTACGGCGACGAATTACGTGTGATAGTGAGATTTATCTCTGCTGTTTACTTTCACGTTTTGGCATTGGTCCGGAACGTCGAAAGTTCCAAACGATCAAGTGTTATTTTTTGTCTGAGGATGGTGATGCTGTTTGAAATCTATGCGTATTGCGTCTATGTCCAATGTACGCCTACTGGCGTGTTTGGTTTACTTTCGAGCTTTAAAAGTAGATCTTTTCTAATATGGTCCCATAAAGACTTATTGATTTTGTAGACGTAAGCTGCCCTTTGAGTGCATTATAAAGAATCAGGTTAACCGCACTCGATCTCGTATAGTCACTGCCTTTACCGACAGAGCATATTACGCAATTGTGTAGTGCGCATAGATGGTCATACAAGTGGTTGCGATTGGCGTACGAGAGTGTTCAATAGTATTCTAATCATTGCCAATCATATCTCTAAGGTTGCAATCTCTAAAAAATGTTTTATAGGTGTATTAATTTCGTTTGAAGAAGGTGGAGTAAACGGGACATTTTTTTGCTCAACTCAGAGTTTCGCAACACGATTTTGCTTTTGAACCTATCTGAAATAACTACAACTTTGCAAGCCCTAGAAACGACTATTTTCTGCCCAAATTTAGAATGTCTTCCTGACTATCTTCCTATGTACGCGCTGGGAGCTATATGAATCGTGCTTCTTTGCGTGTATGGATGGTGAGAGGAGAGGTCATGAAAGAACAGGTTTTTTATCTGGTTTTCGGCATCAAGTGGCGGTATAGCCATTTTGGACAAACTAACTTGAACGTTTAAAAGTAAAAGCCAGTGACATGCAGAGCTTTCAACCTCAGTCAAGTCATGAATTATTGAAGCTATCAGCTACTAACTCCTAGCGAGGGTAAAAACCATTTTAACTTTGATAATTTTGGGGCTGAATATATGACTTTGATTACCCATATCACAGTTTTGACTTTGTGCGCCACATCACTTATGCCATTCGATTCGTCTCCACGATTGCTTGTGCATTGATATTCTTCATGAACGTTGTCTAATACTGGTCAAGCTCGTCTCCTCAACCTCGAGATTCGCCAGTGTGAAACGTTTTGTAGGTAGTTCTTTACTGATTGGCGGAGAGCGTTTGAAGAGGTGGGATATCAACCCGCGTAGAGCTGGGTTGAGCATCACCAGCCACTCGGTCAATCGCGCCTTAAAGCTGCACTTCTAACAAGTCTCATGGAAGACCGGAGAAGCGAAAAGGAAACTACTCTTTCAAGCAGTTAGCATGTCACTTGAATCTTATTGAGGGATCGTTTAGCAATATTCGGTGGAAATTAAGCAAGTTGCTTTGAAACGATAGAAGAAATGAAATTCCTCCAAGAGCTGATGTAAACTAGATAAAAAAAAAATCTTATCCTTTCAGGAAGACGATAGAGGTCACTGCCCGCAGCAATTCAAAAAACGAGTCAATTTCGTGATTGATTTGTACATTTTTTTTTCACTTTGAGGGAACTTTAGGTTTCTTTTATAAACCACAATTTTCTCTACACGTCTATAAATATTTTAAGTATTTATATCTTTGGAAACGGTATGCCATGGTATCCTTTTTCTTTCTATAAAAACTTTCAAAAAATCAGATCTAGCTTTAGAATTACCACTAATCAATGCGAAGAAAAGTACTGAAACGTCTTTGAAAAAGCCACCCAAAAGCCTTAGGATAACGTACTCTTATTCCTGCTGCTACGGCGCGTTAGAAAGCGTTTTTGATTATTAAACTTGTTATTGGAGTTTCCGGAGCTACAGAAAGATTACAAAACTAAGGGTCATGGCCGAGTGGTTGTGGTATTTGTTGCGGTTCGTGTGACGCCGAACTGTACCTCCAGCACTCTCAGGCAGTCAACAACGAACGTCCTATGGAACGCCACAGTCAGGTTATCCCCGAGATTGCTGGGAGACTCGCTCAACCGTTATATCACGCCTTTGAAGTAGAAGGCGAAAAAGTTAATAGAATGTTAGAAGCGATGATATCTTCACAATGAAGAAAAATGCTGAGAAGACGGGCCAAGGAAAAGCAAAAAACGCTTTGTCATTAAGAGGTTGAATAAATGTTCATAATTCAATTAGTTATATCTGTTCAAGGTGACTTACACCGCAAATTTAATCTCACACTTCAAGACTTCAAATACAGTAGCCTTGCTACAGAATATTAAGCACTACTATTTTACAGAAACAGATCCGCTTATTTTGACTCTCTATTGCGTGATCACCAGACATCATTCGATCCTCGTCTCTTTGAGACTCACCAACCGCCACGGCCTAAAAAATGATGAGGAAGTGATTCAGTAGTTAGTATATCCAAAAAATTGTCACTAACCCCAAAAAGGTGGACCTCCCCATCCTCCTGGTCCTCTGGGTCCTCCTCTTCCTCCGTAGCCTCCTCCCCAGCCGCCTCGTCCTCGCGGCCCATCTCTTCCTCCCCAGCCGCCTCCTCGCCCTCCACCTCTTCCTCCATATCGCTCGTCCGAGCCGCCTCCTCTTCCACCCCCTCGTCCCCCTGAGCCACCTCTTCCTCCTCGTTCGTCCGAGTCGCCTCCTCTTCCGCCCCCTCGTCCCCCGCCGCGTTCTTCAGAACCACCTCCTCTCCCACCACCACGTCCCTCTGACCCTCCTCTTCTTCCTCCACCGCGTCCTTCCCCACCGCCTCCTCCAAAACCTCCTTCTCTTTCTCTGTCATCTCGTCCTGGAAAGGCTCATAACATCCTTCAATCAAAGTAAGGAAAAAATGCCATGACACAAAAATAATTTATATCTGTGTGTGCTAATCAAGGCCTTAAACGAAAACGACATGTTACAATTTGAACAAATTGGAAGTTTTGAAGTTTATTGCCTAGAAGTAATTGAAATATGTAAAGTTTTGATACCGTCCAGCTGCCCATTTTCTTGTGGATGGTTTGCTATAAATCTTTCCTATATTTTCTTTGAAATGGAGCTTTCGTGGGAACAAAGTCGCTTGCTACTTATGCAAGAAGAAAGCGTAGGGGAAAATGCTGGTAAAGCGGCGCGCAGGATTAATGGAGCGATGATACGATTGCACGAAGGACGGCTAGAAAATGGTTCACGAAGTCCAAAGCTGGAGAAAACAGTCTGGAGGACAAGTCGCGCTCGGGGCATCCACAGGAAGCTCTATTAACCTTACGCTCCTCTTGACTAACACTTTCTCCTAAGCGCCAGCCGTGTAGAGTCGCAAAGAAATTTATACCTAAAACAACTCCAATTCGAAGTAAATATAAACGAGATGTATGCCAAAATATTCGCAAAAAATGCGCAATTGAGTGGTATCAATTCATGCTATTTTACTTACTATTGGTTAACAAATTTAGTGTTTATTGTTTCAGTGTAAAAACTTA